CCGCTTCTGTTTTATTGAAGAGACAAAAGAATGCCCCCTCACCCCTAGCAGGGATGTGTGACCTCTGGTGCAAGGCAGTTCATGAAGAGACTTCCTCAGGTTCAGAATTCTCGTCTGGGTAAAGGGAGTGGGGGTGGAGTGGGTCATCTCTGAGGGGTTTTTTTTTTTTGGCTCTAATTTTGGTTTCTGTCTATCCAGGAGCCAGGAATGGAGAGAACGGTAATGGTTTTACTTCTTATTGTGGAAACCTGTTGAGATAATCACAGAGAATATACTGAAGGCATGAAAAATAGGGCAGAACCATAGCAGCGTGTGGCAAGTTGGGGAAGAGTTTTTGGAGAGGGTGAATTTTGCATCGGACCTGACAGAATTGTGTATGGGGAAGGGGAGCGGTTATTCTGGTCTGCTCACATCTCTCATACTCAACCTCATTTCTCCTAATTCTGAAATCTTGAGATCCTCCATCACTAAGAAAGAAAACTACTGTCCAACAGGGACCCTTTATTGCTCACCCCATATGTGAAAGTTAGTCATAGCTAAGGCTAGGGTGCTTTGGTCAGTATCAGCAGAATATATGCCCCTTTTCTTTTGTCAGCATTACTCAGCTTACAAAGCCCTTCCATGTAGATGACCTCATCTGAGCTTCCTAACAAAGGAGCTGGTATTAGACCCCATTTGACAGTGCGCCTGGGTAGGGAAGAGAGTGTAGTGGATTGAGCGGAGGCTTTGGCACCAGACACGGCTTCCTAGCCATGTGCTCTTGGGCAAGTTGCTTAACCCTGCCGAGCCTCAGTTTCCTCAGAAGGAGTCTGTATAAGCAAGGGAAGGGATTGGTCATAGAAGTGGTACTGTGTTTCGTTTATCTAGTTACGGCAGACTCTCAAAAACAAATGGTTGTGTACAATTAACGTTGTCTGCAGTTCCCCTGAATCCATTCACTTGTTCAGTAAATGTGTATTGAGCTTCTACAAGGTGTCAAGCACCATGATCGCTGTATCAGTGATTTAACCATTTTTGATGGTTACTACAGACCCCTTTAAGAATGTGATAGAAAACTATAGCTCCCTCTCCACAGAAAACTTTTCTAGCTTTTTATTTTGCTTTGCCGAACCATTTCAAATTGGGTGGGAGACGTGAGGCTCTAAATACTACAGCATCCACTGCCTTGAAATACAGGTATTCTCAGCCGGGCGCGGTGGCTCAGACCTGTAATCCCAGCACTTTGGGAGGCCAAGGCAGGTGGATCACCTGAGGTCAGGAGTTTGAGACCGCCAGCCTGGCCAACCTGATGAAACCCCATCTCTACTAAAAATACAAAAATTAGCCGGACGTGGTGGTGGGCACCTGTAATCCCAGCTACTAGGGAGGCTGAGGCAGGAGAATCGCTTGAACCTGGGAAGAAAAGATTGTAGTGAGCCAGATTGCGCCATTGCACTCCAGCCTGGGCAACAAGAGAAAAACTCCATCTCAAAAATAAATAAATATGTAAATAAATAAGTATAGGCATTCTCATACATAACCTCAATAAATACCATTAAGAAAATAATTTTAGACAGGGTGCAGTCGCACATGCCTATAATCCCAGCACTTTGGGAGGCTGAGGTGGGAGGATGGCTTGAGCCTAGGAGTTCGAGACCAGCCTGGGCAATGTAGTGGGAACTCTTCTCTACAAAAACCTTTAAAAATTAGCCAGGTGTGGTAGCATGCAGCTGTTGTTGCAGCAGCTCAGGAGGCTAAGATAAGAGGATTGCTTGAGCCAGGGAGGCAGAGGTTGCAGTGAGCCAAGATAGTTCCACTGCACTCTGGGGGACAGAGTAAGAAATAAATAAATAAATAAAAGAAAGAAAAATAATTGTTTAATATGATCCAACACCCAATCTATTTTCAAATTTCCCACAATAGTTCCAAGACTATTTTTATAACCTTTTTTTTTTTTGGCAGGATCCAATCAAGGTTCACATATTACATTTGTTTATTATTTCTCTTTAGTCTGTAAAAATCAAGAGCAGTTCCTGTGAAGTTTTTTTTATGACATTGACTTTTTAAAAGACTAGACCAGTTGCCATGTGAACTGTCCAGCATTCTGGATTTATCTGATTCTTTCCTCATGGTGTGGTTTAACTCCTCCATCGGTACTTTTTCAGTTGTAACATACTTCAGAGTATTCCTTTCCTTTATATTTTTTATAAACTGGAAGTTAGATCTAAAGACTTGACTAGATTCATTCAAGTCAAACATTTTTGGCACAAAAACTTCATCGGTAATGTTGTGTGATTCATATAGTGCCATGCCGGGAAGCACATGCCACTTTGCCCCATCTGCTGATGACGCTGGATTTGGTCACTTAGTTAAGGTAACCACTGGATCTCTTCCTTATGAAGGTATGTCAGGAAGTAATCCATTCGTTGGTGCTTTGGCACTATGGGGACTATCTCATCCCCCAGAACCTTTCACCTAATAGTTTTAGCATCTATTGATGATCCTTGTGCTATTATAATGGCAGTCGCAAAATGATTTTCTAATTCTGTTATCCCTCTTCTACTTATTCGCTGATTAGTCTTACAGAAGATTATTCTTCTGTAATTCCCAGACAATTTTAAGTATCTAGTACATGTACAATAATTTTTAGACAGTTTCAGTTTAGAGACCATCGAAGCCCAGCATGGAGCCTGGGTGATGAGGTGTCTTATTTTGCACGGAAGAAGAACTGTAGCTAAGCTCTTGATAGTCCTTTGATTCTTCTTGTTTTGCAAGTAAATTGCAAAATAAGTTCCCAACCCAAAGATAACACAGGCTATCCTTCGACAAAAAAACAACCTCAGCTTTTAAACTTCTAGGCCATTCAGCAAAGAGGCATGCATGATAAAGGGCTTGAAAGCCCACAGACACACCCAGTACCATTCCTTTTTCCTCTTTCCAAACACTTGCAGTATGTTACAACTGAAAAAGTGCTGACCCAGGCTTATTTTCTCAACAGTAAAGCCAAGGATTTGGACCAGGCAATTCCTAGCATTTTTTTTTTTATTTTTTGAGATGGAGTCTCACTCTGTCACCCAGGCTGGAGTGCAGTGGCACAATCTAGGCTCACTGCAACCTCTGCCTCCTGGGTTGAGGTGGTTGATTCTCCTGCCTCAGCCTCCTGAGTAGCTGGGACTACAGGTGCATGCTACTACGCCTGGGTAATTTTTGTATTTTTAGTAGAGGTGGGGTTCCACCATGTTAGCCAGGATGGTCTCGATCTCCTGACGTAATTCACCTGCCTCGCCCTCCCAAAGTGTTGGGATTACAGGCGTGAGCCACCGTGCCTGGCCAATTCCTAGTATTTCTACCAGCATTACTAACATCTAGGAACTTGATATTACTTTCATTTGACAGTTAAATTCCTTGATTCCTTCATTTGAGCTTTGAAGGTGCTTGATTTTCCCCTCATTATGTCTCTTAAAGTCACACATACCTAGATCCGTTAGTGCTTCCAGTTG